ACCCCAGCCATTCTCAGGACAAAGAAAACCACACCGGCAAAGCCAGGAACCAGCATGGACTGCGCAAGGTGTGCCACGAACTTGAAGTAGAAGGCAATTGTTTCACCGAAGTAGGGTCGAATGGAGATGCTCGCGTTCCCAAAGGATGGGCTAAGCCAGTTCTTGGAGGTGAGAGCTGCATCGTGGATTTCCTGAATCTTACCGGGACTTGGGCAGGGAAAATAGCACGTGATAACTCCCTGCTGCACCATCTCGTCCAAGCTCACCCATTGATCAAGCCAAAACCTCAAAGGAGGGACCGCATATCTTGATTTAGGGTTTGATTTGAATTCCTTCGCCCTGTCATGGTCCTAAAACCCTGGACCCGATTTTCGATTTTGAGATCGTCGCTTGTTCCGGGGTCGTGTAGGGCTCTTGGGCTTCAGGGTAATGAATGCCAGGTAGGTTCCTCACTTCATCGTGCCTACCAGGCAGTACTCAGCACGTTTGCCTGGAGTGCTGTACGTTTGTTGCTGCTGGTTTGTTTCATCATGTAGCACTGTTTACTGCATGCCCATTCGTGTTGATACGATCTTTTCTTCTTCCGAAGTCTTATTGGTACATACTGTTGTAGTTACGATCCGACCCGCTATGCATAAGAATTGCATCATGATTATGTGGTGTATTCTATCACATACGTATGAATAATTTTAGAAAGTGTGGATAAAGAACCTGCAGCTATCGTGCTCGAAATAGTCGTCCCCGTACTTGTACCAGTCCGGATTTTGGTCTTGCTAGTACAAGCATGCTTGATTCTACCATGCTCCGGTGAAGATTGCAGCCCACTCTCAGCACAGAGAGTTCGGTTATGATTTGGCCATCGTGGCTGCGGGGAGCACGAGGAGACAACGAGAGGGAGAGTGATCTATGAAAATGCTGCATAGAACTCCACCAGCTGACTATCGTTTATTCTTCTTGTTCAAGCCTTGTGGCTTATTTCGAAGATGCCCGCAGTCTGCCAAAAATAGCAGACGCTCTGCTTAAGCCCCCTCGCCTCGAGCCTGATCAGCCCCGGTTTCTTTATTCAGGGGGGTTGAGGACTCGAGGGATGGGAGACAGGACTGATAGCACAAACCACCGGGATGCCCTTATTCCAAAATGCCGTGCAGAATTTCTATTCGCACCTCAAACTGATGTTAACCACTCATCCCATATGTTGAGGTGAGTCCTGAGACAGACCCAACGAGAATCCTGAACGAATCCTCAACCTCCAAGTCTGTTAAGACTCCTCTGCACCAAGTAGCTCCAGAAGCCGAACTGCGTCGATGCTGCGAAAAGCATCAAACTTGTCCTGTTCCCAAACGCGACACTCACTGCAGTGCCGGCAAAGCGCAGCCGACCGAGCTTATCCAGCATGCCAACAAAACCATCTGAGCAGTGATGAAAGCGGTATGATGATCGCAATAAAAGGAGCTGGTGGTAACTGTGGTGGCGGTGGCAGTAGCAATTGCAATAGCAGTCGAAACAGAAGAAGTTCTATTGTGTTGTAGTGGCCGGGGCAAGGGTTGGTTTTGGTGTCGTTGCTGCTCCTGCTGCTGGTCGCAATCGGAGTTGTAACGGCAATAATGGTTGCAGTACCGCTCGTCATCATCGTCGGAGTAGTAGTCGCCGTCGCGGTGCTGTTGGCACGGGTGGTTCTGGTGGTGTGTGGTGTTTTTTGCTGCTACTGCTGGTGCGCTGCTGGTGCGCTGCTGGTGCTGCTGGTCACCTTCGTCGCAATCGTAATTGTTGCAGCGGAAGTTAGTAACAGTGGTGGCAGTAATGGCTGTCGTCGTCGTCGTCCGTGTCGTTGTTGTTCTGGTAGTAGTGGTCGTCGTCGTTATCGTAGTAGTAGTAGTAGTAGTAGTGGTAGTAGTAGTAGTAGTAGTAGTAGCAGTGGTTTTTTTTGTGTGCAAGGCATATGGTCTGTATGCCCATCAACCATGGCAGTATCATGATGTGTCTGCTTTGCGAGGCTTTGTAAGAAGCGCATTCCATAGCAACCTGTCTTGAGCTCTTGGATTTATCGCTCGAAAAAGCTTTGTGTTGTCCATGCGCGGGATGTGTTCAGAGTTATGCACTGTTTTCACCGTGCGAATGGAGGGCACTGTCCAGTATGAGTCATGGATTCGGGCCAAGCCAGGAGCCATAGCCGTATCTTGATGTCGTATCCGCATATAAGCTTCAGACATAGCCATCTCGGCCCAGTGCAAACTGGGTCGGCCACTCCGGGTAGATCTGCGAGCATGTCTGTATGCTCCCGATATCAAAAAAGCGGATGTGTACTCGTGCGAATCAGGATGGCGGAGTATGTGGCCTAGGAGTTTGAGTCGCTGAAAGGAAAAATGTTGGGATGGCGTGGGTGTTGGGACTAACGTGTTGGCGCGTTCGGACAAATATTGGTTTGAGCACGGGATGTTGGACGGCTGAATTACTCGATGATAATAGGAAGACTTCAGACCAAAAATGCGGCGCATTTGTTGAAAGTGGAACTTGTTCACTCGTTGCATATGAACCGGCCTGATGCAGTATGATTCCATGGCGTAGGACAGAATTGATAACAACACGGACCGATAGATGACGAGCTTCCATTTGTTTCCCAAGCCGGCTTGAGAAGTTTGGAAGCGTGCACTGCTTTGGAGATGCGAGAGCTGACTGTGCGATTATCTGAGCCAGTTGCATCCAAGAAAATGCCTAAATACTTTACCTCGTCTACTTTTGGGACATGAGAAGTGAGTTTGATATTACCCGAGCAAACTTCACACTGACAAACACGGTTGGGATCAGGAGCATAGTGCACGCGGTGGGGAGAATTGACTGCTAAGTGCTTGCATTTTTCGAGATTCAAGCGCAAACCCATGGAGAGAGCATGATATTGTAGAAGGTGGAGCAACCGGTTCAACTGAACATAAGAGTGGGACAATAAGACGGTGTCGTCCGCAAATTCCAGGTCCCACAAACGTGATGGAGCCGACAGTACTCCAGCCAACACCCCATATTTTGCTTCGTAACTTCTTTCAACATCCCAGAATAAACAGGTCAAAAGTATATCGAACAAGTATGGAGACAAAGGACAGCCTTGACGGACGCCTCGACCTTGAAAGCCCTCTTCGGATGTGACGCCGGAGTCCCTGACCCGGAAGCGCGGAGAACTTTAGATAGCCATTATCGCCTTGACAAACGGAGGAGGTACGCCAATACGAACCAAAGATTGCTCAATAGAATAGAATGTAACGGAGTCAAACGCTTTCGCCCAATCTAAGAACAATAAATGAAGCGCTGAATCTTGCCTTTCGTGAGCCTCAAGTAGTCTACGCAACACGTGTATAGGTTGGGACGTTGATCGTCCCCGACGAAACCCGAATTAATTGTCGCGTATTCTCGGGTCGACATACATAGCCAGTCTTCTTTGCAAAAGAGACGCATAAACCTTGTAAAAAACATCAGTCAAGCAAATTGCTCTGTGATTGTCGAGGGACAAGGGATCCTTCCGTGCATCCTTGATCAGCATCACCACATCCGATAAAAGCCATGCGTCAGGTACTGCCCCCTGTGTTAAACACTTGTTGTAATGTGATAAGAGGAAGACTCTAACGGAATATGGGGCCCTCTTGATGAGTTCTGAGGGGATGGTATCAGGACCTGCTGCTCTGCCTGTGGAAAGATTTTTGAGACTAGCAGCTAGCTCTTGTTCGGTGAAGGGGCGAAACATAGAAGGGATTTCTTCGAACAGAGAAGGGAGAGTCTGCTGTGATGGAGTGCTGCAGCGCCACACTTCATCTGACAAATACTTCTTGAATGTATCCGCCCTACGGTGTTGAGGCATCAACTTTCCCTCAGTGTCCTTTATGCCTGGGGTCCTCGGCTTGAACTCCCTACGAAGCTTACGGATGGTAGGCCATTGTTTCGGGGAGCTTTCGTAATCTTTCGACAATTGGGTTTTTGCAAACAGTTTCTTATCCCGTCTGGCCGCTGCTTTGATGCGATTGCGAGTTGATTTCACTTCGTCGGCCGACAAACCAACAGAATCCCTGAAGTCAGCAATAAGTTGAAGGGTATTCCGCGAAATCCAAGGTTTGTGAGGTTGTAGAGGAAGGAGTGGGATTAGTTTTTTGGCGTCCTCAATAGCTTCACGGAGATGTTGATTTTGCTCGTTCAGTGACATACCCTCCCAAGAGGAAAGATCCCAGCTACAAACCGGCGGCCGCAAGCTGCGGTCCTCAGAATGCGCGAAACGACCAGTATTGCCAAGAGAGAAGTTACCGGTGTACGCAACTCTATCGGCGTATTCGTTTCCAGGGATACCGGCATGTGATGGAACTTTGTGTACGGATACATGGTATGTAGCTCGCATGGCCAACCAATACTTTTGGAGAAGAAGCACCAGTCGGTGATGTGTAGCAGGCAAAGAGTCGCCATGCAGTATTCCAACCACGTACTGAGAATCAGTATATATGTAAATGGCCTGGCCGTTAGAAAAAGGTGCATGATTCAGAATATAATCGAACAGTTCGAGTAACGCTTGGAGCTCCGCTGTATTGTTCGATGAAACCTCGGCTCCCGCATATTCCGGAGCATCGGGGTTGGTGCGAACCTTACCGTGCGAAGTAATCCACTGCGCCGTAGGAAGAGGATGAGGAGAGGAATCGTGCAACACCGGCGAAACAACAAAACCCCAGCCCGCCGGGTTTTCAGCAGAGATGACCCTATTGTTTGGACAGGAACCATCAGTGTAGGCTAGAACATGACCGCTATTGGGAGCAGCAGGAGGTTTCAAGCTAACGCCGCAAGTGGCGAGTAAGGATTCTTCTAATTTCGTGTAGTACCCGGCTGTTTGAACCAGATCTAAAGAAGGAGATTTTTCCGGTCGCGGCGCCCTTGTGGGTAAATCGATTTTGATACGACAAACAATGGGGAGGTGTCTGCTGTTGACTGCTTGCTGGAAGTGACTGCGGATCGAGGTAAACCGAAATGCCGGAGACAAACTGGCGAGAACCAAATCCAATGCTGCCCAATCACTTACGTTGGGCCTCGCTAGTAAATGATCGGAGCATGTGGTTTCTTTGTATGTAACTCGTTGGGACAGTGGTGTTGACAAGAACGTTTGGGGGATATGCAAATCTAGACTTTGCAGAGCTTCATACAAGAACAGAGCATTGTCCCTGTCTGCGGCATCGATGGAGAGACGTTTGCCCCAAACATTGGGACCAATGTGTGTCAACGAGGTGTCAATGCTGTTGTCAAGCCTCGCGTTGAAGTCACCCAATACAAGCAAAAAAGCAGGGGAATCAACAGTGCTAACCTGTTCTTGAAACTCATCCCAAAATTCTTGCTTCCTCCGCCTGTCGTCTGCTGCATCCCGGACAAGGCTGGGGGCGTAAACACAGTACAACTGAAGGGGTTTCGGAGAAGTACATATAGAGAGTTTGCACATTCGGGGCCCCAACGGCAAGAAAGAGCGCACATACGGACGGAGAAACGGTGCCACGATGAATCCGACTCCGTGTTTCGGTGACGATGGGGATGAGCTGTGCAAAATGAGATAACCGGATTTCGAAAACTCCTGCGTGCGTTCGCAATGAGTTTCTTGCATGGCCAAAATGTGTATAGCATGTTGTCGCATGAAAGCAAAAAGCTGGTCATATTTAGCAACTTCACGGAGCCCCTCGACATTCCAGGTCGCAAGGTTGAGCGTGTTAGCATACAATTTGCATGGTGCAACTGAAGTGGACAGAACCCGTCGAAACAAGAAAGAATTACTAGTGTCCTGCGCGTTGCGCTGCATTTGCTTCTGTGCGCGAGCAAAAACTGACTGCCTCGGTTGTAGCAGGGGGGGTGACAACAGGCCTCGGCCAACCATACCTCGGCCCCAACCCTGATTGTATGCACGATAACTCTGCCGTGATTCTCGGCGGGTTGAGCAGCGTTTGTGGAGACGCCTTTTTACGGCTTCCTCGCTTCGGAAACCCCTGTGAGTGTATCCCCCGAAAGCATCGCGATTTTCGTTGCCGCGCGGTCTACCACGAAAGCTCGAAATAACAGTGTGGAGCATTGGATCTGCGTACTGTCGGCGGCATCCCGGCTCACCACTCGTGGCGGTAATCGCTTTCCGTAGACAGTGATAAAGTTTTGGAGAAGACACCCGGTCCGAGCAAAAGATGAAGTAGCTACCGCGTCGATAAACATAGACTTCGAAGCAGGAAGCGTAATCCCGGAACTGAAAAACTAGCATTCCGTTATAGAGAGCGAAACATGTGCTCCACAAGTGAGATTTGTGATGAGGCTTCTGCCAAGGTCGGGTGTTATACCAGTTGCCATGGAGTGTGTGTTGCTGTCGGTTGCGCTTCTTACTTGAAAGTGCCTCAAAAAGTTGCACAGCTTTCATTCGTGCCAATGGGTGCTGGGACAGGTTCTTGTCCACACACCTGTTGGCTGAAAAACAGGGAGGGGTGAGGGTATCGAGCCAATGAACAAAAGAAAAAGAACCCGAACGCAACAAACGATTTCCTACCCTCAACCCTCCACGAGGGGCTAGCAGCTGCAGGACCTTTAAAGCTGTCCGCGCGCTGCTCGAAGATCAAACTGTTTTTACTCGAAAGTGCAACTCAGAATGTCCCATCGGGCTCGAACTCATGGCGATGGGATGTTGTGACATCCTCATATCCGTATTTCCTGGTCTTATCCGTATCTCAACGTCATAACTGTTGTGGGTGGAATGGAGAAAGAATACTGGTAGGAGGAGAAGAAGAAGAACTGGCCGATGAAGTCAACGGCCTCTATAGTAGCGATCGGTGTACTCGTAATGGCGAGATGTTCTGCTGGGGCTGCGGTCGCGAACGTCACGGCGCATGTCACGGATATCTCTGCGACTGTTCCAACCACCGCGAGCATGTGAGCGATTTTGTCGTGTCTTATCCTCGCGATCTCGATCATGACGTCTGTCAAACTCCTCAAACGGGTAATCACTCCGCCGACTGGGGGTCTCTTCCATGGCATCGTCCTCCGAATTTCGATACTGTTGATGACGAGTCTGTTGGTATTCACGATTGCTCAGCTTGCCCTTGCCTTTGCCTTTGCTGTGTGAGCCTTTCACTCTGTCGTCGCGTCGTGATCCTTTTGAGCCCTTACCATAATCAGTTGGGTCAATGCCACGTTGGAATTGTGCGGCATTGACAACTTGACTCAACCCACCAAACCATTTGTGAATAAAACCGGGATCTGCACCCAGCCGGTCGGCCAGCGCATCGTCTAATGTGTGGTGCTCGATGGTATATGGAAACATCTGAAAAGCCTCTGCTGGACTGACATTGGAATAATCAAAAGACGAGCTGTGTGATGGAATCTTGCCAAAGTGGTGCAGTGCGTGCTTGCATTCGTAATGGCCTGGAGTAGAATGAGTGTGTTCATCATGCGGTCGTTGAAATTCCTGCCAAAATCGTCTTGTAAAGTCGGTAACAGGCTTAGTTGTACAAGAAGAATACAACGAAACTCACCACGAAATGGGAGGTACAATACCTGAGCCAGTAGCTTATCTGGGCTCCCATCAGGGCTCCAAATTTGGAGGGCGTTGATGTCCGTCCGAAATGATGTGGCGTCGTAGAGAGGGGGAGTAGCATCAGATAACATATCGAGGAGGGCAAAATAAGGCTGGCGCTCCAGTCGGGTCGAGAACGGAACGTCGCGCTCGACCCTCAACTTTCTGTCGTTGGATCTGTCGTGGTTGTCCCGCCAGTACCGGGCACTTCTGCGGAAGGATGTCAGGAACTGCTTGCTACCCTGTTGCTGTAGACATACTACGCGTAATAGAGCCTCACTAGAAGAAACGATGTGGGTTGTACAAGACTGCACTGACTCGTCAAACTCCATACCAGCTGCCGAACACAAGTACCGCATGTTGTACTGGATGGAAGAATCATTTGTGAATGGAGGAACGTTATGTAGGAGAACGGTGCGATGGCAAATCTCCCCTTCCAGATTACTCAACTGCATCTGGTGAAGATTCAACGCCCGCAGCACTGCCGGAGCTTTCCGATTGGATAACGCTGTGATACTGTCCGCCAACATGTTGAAACTGGGCTGGATGTGCTTCTCATGGTATGACGAAAGCGCCGTGTCTAACACATTTCCAGTGATTGGCTGTTCTTTGAGTCCTTCATCTACTGCTGGGGGATTGTTTGGTGCCGGGATAGCAGTTGTATCCATCTCTTGAAAATCTCCAGAAGGTGTGAGTCTGGCTATCTTATGTCGATGGCGAAATTTGTGTAAGGCTGCTTTCACCTCTGGGCGCTGTTCGAGTTCTCGTCTGTAGTTGGGATCCATGTCTCCCCATTCTAGTGCCGAATAGTCGACCTCGTCCTCTTCCTTGATTGGCCCAGTTTGGGCTATGCCTGTGATTCCACTGATATCCGACAAGCTTGACATCGCAGACCGCTTCTTCATGTCATACATAGCATCCACAATCATTGCACTGGTTGGCTCTCGCTGTACTGATCCGTCAGGTTTCCGATGCAGCAAAAAGATCTGGTTGTCACTGTGATATTCTACCGATATGGTGGGAGTCAGGGTTTGCGTACGGATGGGTTGCTGTTCATTTCCACTTTCCGCCCCACTTGCCATTGCTATTTCGAATTTGCGCACCGACCTTTCACTCTCTACGGTGCTCGAGCCTAGTAGTAGTGGTAGTGGTAGTATAGTAGTGGTCGCAGCAGCAGGAGCAGGAGCACAGGAGCAGGAATAGTAGTAGTAGTAGTAGTAGTAGTAGTAGTAGTAGTAGTAGTAGTGGTGGTAGTAGTAGTAGTAGTAGTAGCAGTCGTAGTAGTCGTAGTAGTCGTAGTAGTCGTAGTAATAGTAGTAGCAGCAGCAGCAGCAGTAGTAGTAGTAGTAGTAGTAGTGGTGGTGGTGGTCGTGGTGGTGGTATAGATCGTTGTAGTGGTAGTAGTAGTAGTAGTAGTAGTAGTAGTAGTAGTAGTAGTAGTAGTAGTGATAGTAGTAGTAGTAGTAGTAGTAGTAGTAGTAGTAGTAATAGTAGTAGTAGTAGGAGAAGTAGTAGTAGTCGTAGTAGTAGTAGTAGTAGTAGTAGTAGTAGGATCAGGGGTAGTGGCAGCAGCAGCAGCAGTAGCAGCAGTAGCAGTAGCAGTAGCAGTAGCAGTAGCAGTAGCAGTAGCAGTAGCAGTAGCAGTAGCAGTAGCAGTAGGTAGTAGCAGTAGCAGTAGCAGTAGCAGTAGCAGCAGCAGCAGCAGTAGCAGTAGCAGTAGCAGTAGCAGTAGCAGTAGTAGCAGTAGCAGCAGTAGCAGTAGCAGTAGCAGTAGCAGTAGCAGTAGTAGCAGTAGTAGTAGTAGTAGTAGTAGTAGTAGTAGTAGTAGTAGTAGTAGTAGTAGTAGTAGTAGTAGTACGCGCTCTGCGCGTATTTGATGTCGTGCTTTTTGTGCATTCAAATGCAGAAAAACACGGCAGGGACGGCATTTCAGCATTCACGCATTGCTGCGAGCCGACCGCCCTGAAACGTGAATTTTTTGGTTCAAGTGGAAGTCATGCCTCAAGCGAACCATGCTTGCCGGCTGTGCGGTCAGACGGGACACCGTCAGGAGATGTGTCGCGCATGTCCTAAAGACAGGTGTTATGACTGTATTTTATGATGATGATGATGATGGTGATGAGTCTGATGATTATGAGTGTTATGATGACAATGCTGATGATGTGCATGATGATCTTGAGTGTTACTGTTATGATGATGATGTTGATGAGTATGATGATCTTGAGTGCTACTGTTATGAAGATGATGTTGATAAGTATGATGATGTTGTTGAACATGCTCGCGATTAGCCCCCACCCCCCGCCACCCCACCCCAGGTCACCTACGTTCTCGCGGCAAAGGAGGTACTGTAAATACCAGCACATTCAGGCCCGCAAACAAAGCCGTGCAAGTCCTAAATACAGGTGTCATGACTGTTTTTCAGGTCGTTAAGGCGCTCGGGTCTGCATGGTCCTTGTTTAAAAAATAAAGACGTATGAACACGGAAATACTTTAAATACCAACACATCCAGGCCCTCGAAACAAAGTCGTGGAAGTCCTGAAAGCAGGAAAAACATGGCGTCAAATAGGGCCTGATGCCCTAGTAGTAATAGTAGTAGTAGTAGTAGTAGTAGTAGTAGTAGTCGTAGTAGTAGTAGTAGTAGTAGTAGCAGGAGTACTAGGAATAAGTAGAAGTAGCAGTCGTCGTCGTCGTCGCGTCGGAGTCGCAGTAGTAGTTGTTGCTCTGGTGGTAGTGCTGATGGTGGCGGTGCTGGACGGCTGCTTTCATCTCCGAGTACCAAAAAACTGGCTTCGACGATTATGGCAACAGCTGCTTCGGATGACTTTTCTTACGCAGAAATGACCAGACACACACTCACACTATTTTACTTGTGGATTTATCCGCAGCCTCCGACCAATGGTCAAAACATCCGGATAGTGCCATGCTCCATGTTCAGGAACTGTAACGGGCCCGGGACCTTTCATCTGGCCTAAAGAACCTCGTTCACTCTGGCCAGAGCAAAACAACAGTGAATATCGTCCCAACTCAAGAGTAGTTCCGTTGGCCGTGGACTGTTGAGTGGGCCACTGCCCCGTGCTTTTCCGTCAATGGCATCGACGGTATTGACATGTCTGTCCCTTAGTAACAGGGTTGGACACAAAAACACACTCACACGAGCACACATATCCCAACATACACGAACCTAAGAGTTTTGCAGGCGAGTGTTGACAACCAGCGTTTGCGAAGCTCTCTGTGCAAAGCTTAGAAGCCACTCCTTCTCCGCAACACGGAAGTGTGTTCGCGCCAGGACGGTGCGCTCGTCATCGTTCTGCATGGGCTTGTGACCTTCGGGGACGGGAACGCATGAGGGAAACTTCCTGTTGTGGCGTCAATCACAACGTCCAGGCTGGATCATGTTCTCAATTGGAGATTATGCCCTTGTGAAGACTTGGATCACCCAGCTCGCCCGATTTTTGTTTATGACTGTACGGAATCAGGTTTGGCTCCACTTGCTTGTGTACAACTGGATGCTGAAACGCTTGGACCAACAATCTGAAGTCTGGCTCTCGGCACCTTCACATAAAGGGAAACAAGCATTTGGAGAGGCCAACTGAAGCCCATAGCCAAAGCATGCAGTGATGTTTTCCGGATGAAGCTGCTGGAGCCTTGCGCTTTCCTACGAAAGTCAAACCCTCCTTCGAATGCAACAAGCACAATATTCACTCCTTGCATCTATCAAGGGAATGGACATTCTTAACGCTGGCCTTGCTTCGCTTCAGTGTGGCTTCTGCAGCGGACGAGTGCAGTCAAGCCAGAAGCCGGGAAAGCCGCGAAACATCAACCTCAAGACTATCAGTGACTACCACCCTCATCGACAGAAGCGATATTGAAAAAAAGTAGGGGATACAAACAGTCTGCCGGAGTACCAGAATTACGATGAAAACAAGATAGTTACCATGGTCCATCCCAACAAACCTATCGAAACCTCAACAAATCCTCGACAAGCTGGCTACACATAGCAGCACTTCGATGTTCATGTAGGCTGGAAAACCCCCATTTCTTTGGGGAGAAGGGAAACCCCCGGCCTGGGTATGGGCCGCGCTTCTGGATCGTCTCGTAGACGGCTTCCTGCCAGTATGGGAGTTTCCGAAAATAGGGGACCCTACGCCGAATAGTAGGATCCGTGTGATAAGGAGGCCAAAATAAGGTACCCCTAATTTTCGGAAGCTCCCGTATGAGCCCAGGATTCTCAAGTCTAAGGACGGCAAACTCCCACGCATTCTTCGAAACGTTCACTTAGGCTCGTCGGAGTCCTCAAGGACACATCCTAAGATGCGAACTGTTCTCACAAAGTCACACTCCAAGCAGCTGAGGGTTCGTTTTTCTTTCGTGCTGCAAATCACAAGACACCCGACACCCTACAGAACTGTAGGAATGTTCGGAAGCAGTCCTCGAATCAGACTCGTTCGCTCCTGAACGCCTGAACCTAGTTCATCGCAGAGGCCCACACATAAACGCAAAACGAGTTCCGAAACTCAAATGAACGGCTGCAGACACATCGTGACCTGTAGATCCCCAAACAGAGATAGAGCACCGACTACCTACCACGACCAAAAGGATCACCACCACCACCACCACCACGCCCATCACCACCACCGGGGGCACTGCGACGATCACTACGAACAGGACGACAGTGACCACCACGAGACCACGAGAAAGCATCAAGAAAGAATCAGGAAAGCACCAGAAGAGCACTAGGACATTACTCAAATTCCTATATAGAAACAAGAAGTGCATCTTTTGAAGAATAAAGACTACAAGAATACACAAAAAAACAGAAATTAAAGAATGAAGAAAATATATATATATATATACATATATATATATGTATATACATATTGAGATAGATGGATAGATAGATAGATAGATATGCAGATAGATAGATGAATAGACAAGTATAGATATCCTGATACGGGTATTGTATGTATATGTGTATGTATATATATATATATATATATATACATATATAAATAAATGTGTTTCATATGGAGGCATGCATGCATGTAAGTGGGTATATATGATGTATGTACGTACGTACATATGTATGTATGTAATAGTATGTGCATGCGCGTGCATGCATGCATGCATGTACGCAGGTGAATATTTGTCGCTTACATACATGTGTAGATATATGTATATATGTTTAAAGATGCACGTGTATGTCTACGTTTATGTGCATGTATGTACGCATGCGTGAGCCTGTGCTCATGCATCTATACATGCATGCATGAGCGTATGTGGCAACAAGCAAGCATGTGTTTGTGTTCCCGAACCCACGGATAGGTACAAGTTTGAATATAACATTTGCATTTGCACATGCCATATGTGTGTGTTGAACTAGGTGGAACTGTAGATATACGCAGGAACATACACAAATACTGACATGTTAAGACGTAGGCCGCATGCACATGCCTCTGTAAAGTCTACTCCCGTGGATACACCCATCCGGACACACGACTATGTATACACAGAAGGCACATTGCTTGTGCTGGCAAACGTGTGTGCATGGGTATGTATATACATACTATAGTTACATGCTTCCACATGCCGACATCCTGTACTTACAACGAACTTGTACAGCTGTGTAAGAGGATAACTACGCAGCCATCAGCGCGTGCATGCCCAAGCATGCAACTTTGATGCAGTGAGACTGGCCATGAATGAATACATTCGTCAGTATGTTCAAAGTGCAGATGCTGACGGAATGCTTACACAGCCATGCATGCATCTTGCAGTCATGTACTGGTTTGTTACAGCTCTTGACAACACACACACCCGATCGATCGTGTCTGCCTTCATTCGTACATGAGTATGCACTCGGATTGAAGCATTTCTGTATTCATCTGGCCATACCCGCACCTGTAAGCTTCTACTGTTGTCTAGCAGCCTAGCCATGTGATCGTCCTTTCACATATACATGTCAACATGCCTTCATACTTCGGACCTCTCATCTATGCAGTTTCACCAGGTCAATCCTTCAGAGGCATGTCGTACTCCAAGCGCTCTGCCATAATGCCGATCTCGGAGCCATCAAGGGGCAAGTAAAGCCTCGACCGTGGCGACACCCTCGACAGTTTTGGTTCGGATAGTCGTGGTAGTAGTAGTAATAATAAAACTGGTTGTAGTAGCAGCAGTAGTAGTAGTAGTAGCAGCAGTAGGAGTAGCAATAGCAGCAGCAGCAGCAGGAGCAGTAGCAGTAGCAGTAGCAGTAGCAGTAGCAGTAGCAGTAGCAGTAGCAGTAGCAGTAGCCGTAGCGGTAGCCGTAGCGGTAGCGGTAGCAGTAGCAGTAGCAGTAGCAGTAGTAGTAGTAGTAGTAGTAGTAGTAGTAGTAGTAGTAGTAGTAGTAGTAGTAGTAGTACTAGTAGTAGTACTAGTAGTATCTAAATTGTCACTGCCACTACGACTGCGACAACAACAACAACAACTGCTCATATTTCTCTGCTAGTGCTACCACCACCACGACGACGACTACTACTGCTGCCACTGCTACTGCTCCTACTGCAACTATTACGACCACTCTGGCGCTGCCGCTCCTGCAGCTGCCGCGCTCTTACTGCTGTTTGCGTGCCACCTTGGCAACGGCACTGCCATTTTTACCAGTACTAGGGTGACAGGTGCGATACAAAACAATGCATGTTACTCTTACTACTGGCCGGCTCTTTCTGCCCCTGCTACCACTCCTCTTGCTTTCTTTCTGAGCTTTGTTCCTTTGCCACTCTCATTTTTCCTACACTTCTTACAGTTACCAGCGTCGCTACTCTTGCGCGCACTGCCATTTCAATCATCGCAAGCGACACTCCGGTGACTCTGAGTATCACCTCAACCGCATCGAACTACGGAACCACATCCAACGTGGTCATACGAAACATAACCCTCTACTACAGGTGTCTAAATACTGACCAAGACTAATCATAGTATAATGGGACCCAAAATCCCAGTCTAGGAACCCTATTCTTATAAAGGCCCCTATACCACAATCTTATAGTAAGCCCAATGAAACCCTGCTCTAATTATTAAGGCCACTATCATAGAATTCTCAAGGCCCCTTTTTCGAAGTCTTCAACCCCCCCTCTGTCCGGGCCCCGAGCTTCAGAAAGGTCTCGTCCTCGTCAAGACTGGGAAAATGCTGGACCTGTCAGTTTTGCAGAGGGGCTCGGGTATAGAGCTCGGGGTATTCACGGTTTAGGGTTGAGGGTCTTGTTGAGTTGGGGTTTAGGGTTTGGGGTTGATGATTCAAATCCTACTACACCATCTTACCTGTGTTGGGAAGCTCGGCAGCTCGGTGGATCCTCCTACCTCGGATCTTTCAGCTCTAGAATCTACTTCAAGGATCATGGGACTTAGTAACTAGGGTTATAACTAGGCCAACTATACTTATAACCCCAAATAGGGTACTTAGAACCTTACTTACTAAGTCCCATGATCCTCCAAGTGCAACCCCTCCGGTTCAATCTTTGGGCTTCAAAGTCAAATCTTTCGAGATTCAAGTTTGGACTTCGGGGCCTTCGGAGGGACCTGGGGCCTTAAAACCTCCGTTGAAAGAGTGGGAGAGTACGTAAAGGAACATGGGACTGAGTAACTAGGGTTATAGTCAGGGTTACTATACGGTACTTATAACCTTGCTTACTAAGTCCCATGACAGCTCTGCAACCGAGGTCGAGAGCAATGTCACAGGCAAACCTACCATGATCCTCCGAGTAGGATTGGGGGAGGCTTCAGGGTCAGCTGCCCCGTCCCCGGACGACCTATAGTGAGCTGCCCGAAGTGATTTCAGCAGTCCATGCCTGGAGACCAGAAGACTCGAGAATTTCGAGCAGCCGATTGCGGACGTCAGCCTCGATCGTGCATATTTGTGGTTTTCAAAAGTAAAGGGGGTGTAGGGAATCCTGACAATGCGCCAGTCCGCACAGAACATGGCAATGCCACTGATAAGAGCTCCGACGACGGCACAGCGTGACTTGACACTTGACGTACCATGCAAGCGTCGCTGTGCTAACCTGGCCTGGTAGTCTGCCATGCTCATGGGCGTGTCCGCCTTGATGTGCTCTAACTTCTCCAAAGTCTTGCAACTTTCATCATTGCTGAGAATGTCAAAGATACGTTTAGCTTTGCTCAAGGGGTCGTTCACCATCTCCTTGTGGTCCACTGCCCCGCCGGCAGTCTTGTTCCGGGGCATGATGATGACCATCGTGCACTGCTGCGTGTCGAGCTGCAAGGGTGGAACCAAGCCACTCAGCTGCACGATGTCGGGCTGATTTTCTTCATCGGTGTCGCCCGCTAGAAGGGCCTTGAAGGAATCCATGGCCCCAGGTAACAGGATGGCTCTTCAGGAGGCTTGAGGCAAAGCTCTGCGGAGTGGATCGGTGCAGGATCTACACACAATCAGTGAGCCTGACTCCGTGCACACTATGCTTGTTTCAACAAACGGAAGTGGCAGAAGAAAAACAATGCATGGGCTTTTGCAAAAACTCGGAAACAGTTTCACTCTCCAACTCTGTGCCAAAATGGCTGAGCTCTAAATGAATCAGGACTTCTACTATCTGTGTGTGCTCGAACTCACTTCTCACCAAAGAAGAAATACGGGAGGAAGTTCTGCACGTACTCATCGAACTCATCCTCCGGCGGCAGCAGCACAGACTGGTTGTCGAGAAGCAGCAGCAGCAAGTAGAAGAGGAAAAGCATGACAATGCCAGTGACCATCACCTTCGGCAGTACTGGTCGACAAGAAAACTCAATGTATGACACTGTTTGACTGACAGAACTACACAGCTACGTTCCGTTGAGGCCATCACAAGCACGGTGGGGATGCTGTCCTCCTTGGCCACAACGCCTGCCTCGGCATTGAGGGGCTTCAGCAAGTCCGACAGGCCGGTGCGGATGCCGTAGCCCTCCGGCAGAGGGTCACGCTCGCCGTAGGGCGCAGTCCGCTTGGCATTGCCCACCGGGTACACGCCGTTCTCTGCGGGCATGTCCGTTTCGTACTTCACTTCGGCCGCGGCAGCCACGGACACCTCGCGCCTCGCGGCGGGTCCATTCACGAAGCACTGGCACACGGCCCATGCGCTCAGGCAACCAACCACCAGAGCGGCGAAGGACCTCGGCAATGCAACATCAACACCAAGACACCAAGCACTCCCTGCTGCTATGACAGCCTCCACACTGCTCAGTACCGCACGAGCTGCGCGCCATCTGCAAGGCAATGGTGGAAAACTATTTGTGAAAATCTGCCTGCTTCTTGTGTGAACCCCCCTGCAGCCAAGACATGCCAGGAACAGCACGGTACAGCTTTCGCACCACAGATAACTCAGCAAGGATGTGGAATGGGGTTGATTCCGCGGAAGACCCGTAGATCAGGTGATTGCATCTTCGGCACATAATATTCTCGAAATCCATGTCATGTCTGGCACAACTGGCATTCTGCACTGCCACACTATTGGAACTCTTTGCGGCAATGCACCGCGATAGCACCCCAAAGAAACTGGCACCGCTTTCCGCGAACGCTACAAATAATTGTGCGTGTTTTTGTTGCAGAAGAGAACGCTGTGGGAAGCTATCGGTTGCAACGTTTTCTATCGGTTGCATAGCGTTCTCTTCGGCAGTACTGGTCAGGAACGCTTTAACTGCTAGGTTACATATAACCTAGGGTCCAGGGTTCGACAAACGACAGTGCGATCTGTTAGCAAACTTTTGTTCAAAGCTAGCAAAACAGTAAAATATCAATATTTGAATGTTGGCAGACCCTGGGCCCCGGAACCAGTTATGCTGCCCCGGACTTTCTGGGCAATCTTGGTTCTTAGTTCCCGAGGCCCGTAATTAGCGTTCAGGGTTTTGGGTTTCAGAGTCTAGGGTTGCAGGACCCGATGGCAATTTCCGAAACGTACGGTACCTTGTTTTGGGGTCCTCATGAGAAGGATCCTACTATTTAGGATGCTGTAAGTTAGGGCCCCCTGGTGTCGGAAACTCTCAGGTATGACACCTAACAACAACCGAACAGCAAGCGGCGTGCCTTGTCTAGGGTTTTCGGCCTTGCACCAAACTACCAAGCGACCCCGAAGCTCCGAAACTTGGGCATGGAAAACGGCTCCGGAAGAAGGATGCGAGGATTTCGAAAGCAGGTTGCAAGAAAGCCCCAAACCTCTCTGCACAGCATGCAATGCGTCCCTTCGTGTTTGGATCCAACGCTTGCACGAACCCGATTGGGGTTTAGAGTGAAGGGTTCAGGGTTTGGGGTTCAGGGTTTCGCGTTCAGGGTTTAGGGGAAAGCACGTTCAATCGGACACCTTTTGTTGACAAGCCGCTCACCTCTGCCGGCGACATCCGTGACAGGATGAAATGTCATGTATTCGAACAAAAGAAGCTTGCCCCTCAGGTTCCAATGAACTCTACCTTGGCCAGAAGAGGATGTCAAGCACCTGCCTCGCTTTTGGGACGGAGCAGGACCACAGCGACATGCCTCCGAGGTTCTCACGAGAGCCGCGCGAAGACAGCAGGGCCGTGCTTCGCGCCATGATTCGCACTTGCTCAAAGAGGCGTCAAACAGCATGCAAGCCCTGCATCGCAGGAGCAGGCCCCCTTGCAAAAGGAAGCGAAGCACATGAGGCTTTGTTCGCTCAGAGGCAGCACCTTACCATGCAGGCACCAAGAGACGCGAGACCACGCCAAAGCAAACCGGAAAGCCTCTCTGGTGACCCGCCGCTGCGAGGGTATGACCGAACTGCAGTAGCTTTGGCTCCTGCAAGCAATGCCGCCATGTCTGTGCGGGGAACGATCGGACCTGCAATGTTACGCCTCCAACGTGCACACCCTTCCAGAAAGGAATTCCGGAGCATTTCCCGGAAACGCAGTGTTGCGCCGGACAACACGACAGGTATCCACTCAGAGGTAGACTGAAGATGGTTCGTATACAATCCACCGGATGCTCTGACGCACACGAACATAAGTGCGTTCTGTTGCGGGGTGTGTTGGTGCTCTGCCGCGCAGGGCTGCATGTGGCCCGTCGCGACCAAAAGCGGTTTCCCCTCATAGATGGAAGGACTACCCAAGGCAGAAAGCGCCCTGCGGGCCGGAGCATCCAAAGTTGGTAGCCCGACTCGTTGAAAGAGCATGAGCACCTCCTTGCCCCTTGGCAACTGCGGCTTGATGGCCCCAACTGTGGCTGCGGCCCTTGAAAAGGGACCAACATGCTACCGGCCTCAGGATTTCCGAGAAGCCCATACTACACGCATGCGTTCAGACCTACAAAGCTCGCCCGGAAGACGAGGCTGCGACATGCAATACTGCCCCCCTGCATTAAGGTTTAGCGGTGCATAGGGTTTTGGATGTGTTGATGTACGAGCTTGCACATTCTACCTGTGCTGGACGTCACAGGAAGGACTCTGCAGTGAATGGCAACATCCGAGAAGCACATCGGTGTGCTGAAGGTATGCTTCTTGCAGAACCCTACCAACCACGTCTCCTTCTGCAATATTTCAAGGCTGGAGACCGGAAACCCCCCCCATAGCCATAGCCATGGGTCTTGAAGAATTGACCCCGGGTTTAGGGTCTAGGGTTTAGGGTTTAGGGAATCATGTACAAATGTGCAAAGCTTCTGCAGTTGTCCAAGGATGTGGGAGAGCCTGGAATCCTAGACATTTCAACGTGTGAAGTTGCAGTTCTTGCTCATGCCCCTGCGCCAGATCCGCATTGGTGCAATTGATCCCCCCGCCCCTGATTTCACGTGACAAAGAATGCGGCATGAACATCCGCCGTGGACATGGGGTTTGAGCAACTACCTGCAGAGTTCAGCGCACTGGGGAAGGGACCAGCTTGCATCCTGAGTCCACGGCCTCACCATCATCAGACTGTGCTGTCAAAAAGATGCTGAAGTCTCCAACGACCCCAACACGGCCGTCGAGGAACAGCTTCCTGGACATGGTTCGGGCAGTTTCTGGCAGATAGGGTTTAGGGTTTGGGTTTTAGCAGGGTGAAGGAAGCGCACGTGCAGTCACAGAACTGGACTTTGCACAACTTCGGAGTTAGTAGGATCTGGTCGAAGCCCGTTTCATCAGCGGGAAGTCCACACAGGCAGTGCTTCGCCCGGGGGCTGGAGCTACTGCGATGGCACTGCGCAAGTCGAAGGTGAAGAAGGCACAGCTGTTCCGGAAGCGGGTAGCAATCCTGAAGCAGAGAGGGGCGAATTCATAAGTTCAACGACAGGCAGCGATCCTGTAGGTCCTGCGTGGCATGCAGAGAACAGGGTGATGCCATTGAAACCTAATTGTTGTCGGGGAGAACACTCTGTGACATTCCAGACAAACGATATCATACGATGGTGAGTTCCGGCTTGGTGCGAAGCGGCATCTGACATGCAGCGGCACTGGATCGTGCCACGTGCTGAGGGCAGCAGTTGCAGGCTAGCAGAGTGAAGTGTCAACCACTGCTAGAGGTCACAGAGCTGAACTTCTTCTTGACTGCACCACTTCGGAATCAGCAAGATCCACTCAAAAGCTAACCGGAAAGCCTCTCTGGTGACCCGCCGCTGCGAGGGTATGACCGAACTGCAGTAGCTTTGGCTCCGTAAACAATGCCGCCGCTTTGGCTCCTGCAAGCAATGCCGCCATGTCTGTGCGGGGGAACGTTCGGACCTGCAATGTTACGCCTCCAACGTGCACACCCTTCCAGAAAGGAATTCCGGAGCATTTCCCGGAAACGCAGTGTTGCGCCGGACAACACGACAGGTATCCGCTCAGAGGTAGACTGAAGATGGTTCGTATACAATCCACCGGATGCTCTGACGCACACGAACATAAGTGCGTTCTGTTGCGGGGTGTGTTGGTGCTCTGCCGCGCAGGGCTGCATGTGGCCCGTCGCGACCAAAAGCGGTTTCCCCTCATAGATGGAAGGACTACCCAAGGCAGAAAGCGCCCTGCGGGCCGGAGCATCCAAAGTTGGTAGCCCGACTCGTTGAAAGAGCATGAGCACCTCCTTGCCCCTTGGCAACTGCGGCTTGATGGCCCCAACTGTGGCTGCGGCCCTTGAAAAGGGACCAACATGCTACCGGCCTCAGGATTTCCGAGAAGCCCATACTACACGCATGCGTTCGGACCTACAAAGCTCGCCTGGAAGACAGCTTCTACGTTTGCTGGACGTCACACGAAGCACTCTGCATTGAATGGCAACATCCGATAAGCATGCCGGTGTATTGAAGGTATCCTGCAACCCGCACTGGAAGGATGCACAGCCTTGCCGGAAACGAAGAGCAATCCAGCAGAGTCCTGCAGATCCAACACAAAATACTTCTTGCCGTCGAGGATCCCAACTCAG